TGATCTGAAGCGGTATTCAGTGATTACAAACCTGTCTACACATGTGTGAAGACTGCTCTAGCTTCAGCGAATGATGATGAGACCTCCAGGTCATTTTAGCATTCAGCGATCAAAGGAAGCTTGCTTAGCACGATTGTTGTTGTCTTGTCCTTATGCACACAAAGGACAAACCCATACCCTTGCAAAAGTTAGTACGGTACGGAGCCGATTAGTCGACTCTTTTTCCACCAACTTTGAGCAAGGATGTCTGCTCAAAAGTAGTGCTTTTGTACTATCACTGTAGCAAAGGACAAACCTTCCTCTTAAGGCTTGACACGCACTCTAAACCCTACTTTACTGCATTAAATGTTCATTTAATGCACTGGGTATAAATAGAAGTGTTTCTTCTCCATGCAGAGTGTGCGCATCACTCTCCAACCTAATTTTTACTTCAAGCATCCTCTAGCTTAAGTAAAGGATCTTTCATATAGCATTCTCTTTTCTGTGTTTGCTATAGCTTCGTGTGTAACCAAAGATTGTTTAGATAGGTTTTTCTTTACCTTATCTTTCCACAAACAGTCTTGTAAAATCNGTTTTTCTTTACCTTATCTTTCCACAAACAGTCTTGTAAAATCTGTATTGATCTTCTCTATCAATATATATTTTAAATTTGAAAACCTTGTGTTTGTATTCATCCCCCCTTCTACAAACTGTTTCTTATCTTGTAGACCCTTTCGGGACCAACAGTAATGCTATCAGCGATGGATCATCGACGAATCAGTGACGGAATTCAGCGACATATGAGTGAGTGAAACTTTCTGTTGATCCCAGATCTCTCAATAACACGAATATTCAAGTTATGAATAACGTAAATATATCGTGTAGATGGAAAAAGTGAAGAACACACAAGAACACAAAAGGAATATTCAAGAATAAGTTTGAGTGTCAAATGTCTCACTTTTATTCAAATGATTGATTGGAAAGCGTAAACGATTACAAGAAAGGTAAAGTCTATATATACTAGTAATCTAATTATGAAGATTGCTATCTATGGAAGATATTTAGCAAATCTCTTATGAAAGGAAAGCAATCTAGACTTATGGAAAGTAAATAAAGCGAAGTAAGGAATGGAGAATCCAGCTGTTGATTTGCCATCTCCAACTGTCTTCTAAAGGGTGTGTTCAACGGAGTCTTGTGATCTTCTTCATCGAGTACCTCTGGTTGAACTGTTGAGGAAAACTCCAAGTATTGGTAACCAGAGGGGTTATGGAGATGCGCAGTTCATCGCCCCTATGGACATTCATTGCACCTCTGGTTGTATTGGGCACTTTAGACTTTTTGCTTGAAAGTCTTCCATTAGCCTTATGCTCTTTCACACTTGTATGTTTCTCATTACTTTTACAAATATGAGTGATGGGGTCTAACAATCTCCCCCTAAGTAATGAAAAGACAAACATTGACTAGTCTATAAACAATTGAAGAATAACGAAAGACAGAGGCTAAACTAGAAAAACATCCTTTTGCCAAATTTCTTCATTGGACAAGGTGTTGGACGAATTCTTACAAAACATGAATGAAATTGAAATTACATGATGAAATGTTTTTACTCATGGTCTCCTCTAGAGATATTTTCCAGAATCGTATCATCGGTCCTCTAAATCACATGTCTGTGGAGATACCATGAATAAGTTCTTGTCCTTCCTTCATCGACACATGCGGTCTGCCTAGTCTCTCTCTGATGACTCCCTGAAACCATTCAAGTGTATTGGTTGAGTACTTGAAGGCCTCAGTTAGTCTGAAGAACTTTTTAGCACCAAACTCGATTTTGAAGACCAATCTGAGCTCTGGTTGAGTTAAGACCGATGTAGATCGCTTCTCCTGTAGGCCTTGGAAATCTTCATCTGGAGGAGTGCAAGATAGTCTTTCAATACCAAGTTCAAGAGCGATTTAGAAGTCGCTCTTTGCTCTAAACTTCACCAAGGTTCAGATCGTCTCCACTATCGTTCTATTGGCCATCCCGTACCTTATCCCTTGGTCCTGTTGCTGAGCTGTGTGGCCATAAAGGTCGATCAAGTCCCATGGGTTGATTAAATCATTGTCATTGAAGACGCTGATCATCCCATGTGCGTGTTCCACGATATACTTGATGTGTTTGATAGCTCGGTTTGTGAAGGTCTCATCTTGATGTCTAAGATGGTCTTGATTCCATCGTTTGAGAAGACGGCTTGTGGTGGAGAGGTCGTCTGTCTCACGAATCTGTAACGCAGCAGGTCCATCGACTTAGGAGATAAAATGGGTGGGTTGATGTGACAATCCTGCATTTTGAGATTTCAGGTTAGTACCTTATTTCAGGATCTTTATTAAAAACTAAGTCTTTCTAGGATTTAGCTTCGATGATTAGAGATCATCTTGCTTAATTCCCAAGATTAGCTTGTTAGATCACGTTTCGGTGGGTAGCTAACCAAGTTAGTTTATGCAATGCCAAATAGTCTTGAAATGTTTCATTTAAATAAAGTCGATATTTAAGTTCCATTCTTTTCATATTTAGTTGCCAATTAATTT